CCTGAGAAATCAAAGTCTCATTTAGACCACAGCCACTGCTCAATACCTGCTCTGGTATCGACCGCATTCACTGGCTGTCTCTGAGTGCGTTTGTGTGTGTTTGTAGGTGGGGGACTGGAGGATTGTTGCATTGTCTTGGGATAAGAAGGAGGGAGATATGGAGGAGGTCAGAGGTGATCTGACATTCCATGTGTGAAGTAAAGATCTGTTTACCTGCCACATCATTTCATGTGGCCCGGCAAAGCAAATTATGTGCACCCACTTCCTGTTTTTTTGCTGAAATAACAAAATTGCAGATTATCTTCATTTTTGAAACCATTGAGATATTGCAAGCGTTATTTGATACCAATACACCATTTGAATTAAATATTATATTTGAACTAACAGATTTTACCGTCATTTGATTTCTAAGTATTAATTTATCCTGTAACATGAGTGATCATACATTTATTTTGGTTTAATCCTAACTACGACATGGCCCATGACAAAAGTGAGTTTGAAATCCCAGTCTAACACAACTATCAAAGCTCTTTTCGAGCTTTCTACAACATGATATTCAACAATTTTAATTTTGGAAGATTGCAGATCACAACTGGAAGGTTTGGCGTATGACAATTTGGGTTTGTTGACTTCAATAGTTATCATCGCTACTGTTCAGTACAATGAAAATACAGTAATCGTGTCTCCTTGTGCCTCTTGTTTGACCTCCAGTAATTGGCAATTGAAGATTTCAACAGTTTGTTTTGTTTTCAGCCCCGGGTGGAGTGAAGGGCGGTTCCCTCCAGCAGGCGCACCTGTTCCACGTTTGCCAATCAAGCCTGCCATGTATATAAGGACTGCCAAGCTGCCCAGTCACTGTCGGATTATTGACCTTGCTTGCTGTTTATGCGCAAGTGTTGTTTTCTAGAACTTTTGATCTTGTTCGTAGTCATGTTGCTCTCTTAGTTCCTCATTTTGGAAGTATTGATATTGCTGAGGCTTTTTAATCTTGTTCTTGTTTTTTTTTTGTCAATTGGACTCTTGTCATTTCGCTTGTATTCTCTGTGTTACTTGACCTTGCCTTTTGCAAGTGCTTTTTGTTTATGCCTTTGTAGATGTCTTCTTTTACCTGGCTTCCTGTAACCAGCGATTTCTGTTTGTACTTTGTCGGTGCGCTTTTCTGTAAATAAATCTTTTTGCTATCACAGTTTGTCCGAGCCTGCAGTTCTGGGATCCTAAAACATTATTTGGTTTGGTTTCAAACCGAACAGTTGATTGGAAAAGCAGCTGCGGCTTGTTCTGATTCTGTTGTTCAAATAAAATACCGGTGCTAAAATTTCCCTACGGATATTTCTGACATCTTGGCTGTTTCTCTGCGCCTCTCAGAGCAGTCACCATGTTAAAATAACACGTGTAACTTTTATGGCACTTTATAACTCATTTTAACTTGAAGAACTCTCAAGCATCCATCTCTTCAAAGTGGCAGGATTGCTTTTCCATCACAAAGACTATTTGGAGGCTGGCAGGCAAACACGAATCACGATAAGATTTGTTGCAAAAGAGTGAGTGCGAGTAATGAGCATGGAACACAGCCAAGGTTGGCACATTTTGCAATAATCTGCTGTAATCTGTACCCCACCTCGTTTTCATCTCGAGAAGGGAGAGGTTATTTAACAGTGGCGGTTTTACTTTCCATGTCACAGCTCTAAGGTCTGCACCACAGATAAGATGACTGATGCGTCCAATCAGCGAGTGCTTGTGTTGGTGGCTGGATCTCTGATCTCTCTTTAAGATGCTTAACACTGTCCGATTAGCGGTGCCACACGCTGGTGTTTGATGTCTGCTCATCGGGGCAAATTAGAGATCAGATAAAGTTGACATGGACACAGGCCTTTCCCCATTGGGATCGCAATCGCCCCTCACCACACCGCTCATCTCTCTGTCCCACAATGATAAAGGTTGATTAAGATTGGCCATTACAAACCTGTTATCATGAAATTGTGGGGCGAGTTTGTATAAAAATCAAGGCACTGTGTTTTGGTCCAGACTGATGCTCTTTTGTACTACAGTGCAATCTCTAAAGCCAAATGCAGATATGTTAAAATGTGAAATTCCAATAAAATTATCACAGAAAATATGAGTAAATGAAACTGAACACTAAATAAATATTTATGGTGGATGTTATGTGAATGCGCATTACAGTCAAAGCATTCACATTTGGGGCACATTGTACGACTGTTTGAACTCAGTTGAAGTTGTATGTGTTAATTCTTTTATTTTTTTTAAATATTTGAAAAGGGAATGATAATGAATAATTAATAATGGTTTCACAATGGTAGTAGTTAGATATTTGAACAAATTATGGATGCAGAATTTTAAAAATCAAATGTAGTACTTCTACATAATACAGGTATACAGCGGCTCATGGATTAAGATTTAGATTAAGATATCCTTTATTTGTCCCACACTGGGGAAATTTACAGTCTACAGCAGCAAAATTGGGGGGTAGCAAGAAGAAAAACAAAGTGCTTGCATTCAAAAAAATAAATGTTTCAGTTTCAATGTACACAGTTCAATTAAGCGCAATACAAATATAGATATAGATAAGGTGGCGGTGCTATTTACAATTGTTTTTCCACGTAATTTTTTTTTTTTTTCCGCAGCCTGACAACAGTCTCTGCCCACTCGGTGGAATTGATTCAAAAATATATATTTTTTGATACTGTATATTTTTTATCAATCTATTTGTCTAGTATTGTGGTGGTGCTAGCAATTTTGTTGGAACACAATACATATTATAAACTGCAGTACAAATGCAAAGTTTAACTTGAGGCACGATTCACTGTCGCAAAATTGTAATGAATAAATAAATAAACAAATGTGGCCTGGAAATCACCCACAATCCATATTAAATATAAAATAGTTCTCTCGATTGTTCAGTTCACTTTAATCTGCCATCTTACGTTTTTCACTGCTGCTGCTTGGGGACTGGTGGGGAAACCAAGTGCAGCGGTGGCACTTCCCTTGTGACTCTATCTGCAGTCTATCAGTGCTCTGCCTCTAAGTCCGATTAATTGGCCAGAGAGACCATCATCTTCATTAGAAAAACAGGAATGATATGAGTTAGTGCAGTGTAGCGGTCACAGGCTGATGCACACGACGGCGCACAGAAAAGACGGCTGAGCTGTATCATGCAGTGCTAATTAGAGCTGGGCGATATATAGCGCATATTTCAAGGACGATAGAAAAACGCTTATTGTGCCGTTTCTTTTCTTTTGTCCCTACCATCGTTTGCCCATTTTTCAAGCCAAGATTTCCACAATGCATACTGTATGTTGGCGATGGTGAGCCGCAAGAACAAGAGATGCAGTTTGCGTCACTAAAAAAAGGACTTTTCTCTCAGGGTAGAAATAGCATACTACGGTAATTAGCTTGTTTAGTGTGAAACAAACAAGAGAGGAAATAAACCACCAGACAATAGCACCTGAAGGTACATTGATAATGTAATCATCTAATGTCCCACCATTCAAGTCTTCTGGTTTTATTTTGCGACATCATCTTTGTGGTGTTTGTCGAACGGCAGCTCGCCTGATTTTGAGACAGAATACTGCTTGGTATTTAACACACACGCAGATTCCACCATGGAGGAGAAAGAGAGGAAAAACAGCATTAACTGGAGTGGAATAAGTGACATCTTTGTCACAACCGTCATGCCTGCAGTTACGACAGAGACAATGTGCTGTGCACCCGAAGAGGCACCTGTACTGAAAAGAGGCTGGACATCTTTAGTTTGGTTACATTTTGGGTTCAAGCAGGCCGACGCGGGACAGAAAACGGTCATCTGCAAGCTGCGCCACAAGAGGTTTCCTCTCACCTCACCCTATTCCAGCGCCTCAAACCTCTTCTACCATCAAGAGAAGACGCAACAAAAAGAGTACACAGACATCTTAAGGATGCGAGTCACCGAAGATATCCATAAACCAGCTGAGTAAAAAGGAAAAACAAAAGCTGCCTAGTCTGTGTTAGCCCGGACGCCACAAACAACGTCTAGAACCGAATGAGTGGCTATGACTATAGCTAGCTATTGATACGTAACACAACACAATAGTTCAGTTTGACTTTGCAATGGGGTCTATTCTCGTCATTAGAAAAACAGTATCAGTGAATTGGAAATGTTGTTGTCCCGTGTTATGATTGTTCAGGCTTAGGCTCCATCCACTTCCTATTAGGCTCAAGTGAGCGCTGGGCTTACCTTCCCTCGAGCTCCTATCATGTTTGTTTTTATGAGGGTACCTTGGCTATGTTTGCGCAGGAATGTTGTGTACTGTTGATCGACTGCTCTGAGTGCACTGCAAGGCTACAGGTATTCACAATTTTAAATTATGCTCTTTGAAAAATGATTTTTCTTTGAAAAAGGATTTTTGTTGTGTCGTTTTTGCATTTGATAAGTTAACATTGCAGCACAATGAATTTCTCATATGCGTTGGGTTAATTGTCACTTACAAATAAAGTGAATTAGAAAGAAAGGTTAGCAGTCATCCTATGTAGGGATGGGAATTGAAAATTTGGTTTGCGTTGAGAACCGGTTCTCAGAGTTTGGTGGACGAATGACGTCACCACGCAGCTCGGAAGAAATATGCCGACGGCCCAAGCTCAAAAGTTTAGTTATCTTTTATGAGAAAGGATAACAACAGGGCAACTTGCAAAAGAAAAATGTGTCAGTCACGGGCGAACGTAGTAATATTTCTGTCATATATGGTTGTTGAAATTTTACTGCACATTCTCGTGTCATTGCCACAGAATAATCTAGGTTGTGTTTTGGAAATTTCTACTTTCGAAACAATTTTTTCAAATTCTCCTTGTATGCGGACTTCTTAAGATCACACTGTTGGGTTTGTAAGGTTATGTTACTTTTCAAAAAATGTATCTTGTTTACAGATTCAATTAAGACATAAAACAAAGTAGATGCTAGTCTACAGGTTTCGTCTCCTTTTCCCCTCAAAAGTATCGAGAAAGAATCGAAAAAACGAATAACGGAATCAGAATTGTAAATTGTAAAAATCTTATCGATTCTCATCCCTAATAGTATGTTTTCAAATTTTTCATAGAATAACTAAACACCTACTACATCATGGCATATGGCCCATGTCGTGATATAAGATGCTTTTCCCATACCGCCCAGCACGAGCATTGTTAACAATGAGTTGAAGATTCCTTTCACCGCTAACATTTTCATTGCCCCAAATTATTGCACACAGGCTTTTAAAGTTAAACAAGCGCACGATGATTAGAGCTCAAGTCGAACTGGAATTAGCACTTCAAATCCATTCATTATACTGGAAAAATCCTTGGATGGAATTGCAGAAATGAATATTCTAATAAGATGTAACTTAGCTGAGGTTTGGCCTCCCTTTCTCTCCCATTATATATTCTCTCTTCTGCTCTTTTTCTTCCCCCTGCTGGTCCTTTGTCTTTACAGCCTTTTTTTTCCCGTTAATACCTCATCCCCTTCCTGTGGTGTGTGTTTGCGAATGTGCCTGCGTGCGCATTTGTGTGAAAAAGAAAAGAAAGTGATGAAGTCTCAAAGGAGAGGAGGGAGAGACTGAGGGTGGAACAAGTGATGAATCTCCACACCGTCTGCAATGCTCGCCTCTTCCTCTGGTCCGTCTCCCCCATTCTTGACCCAAATCTAATGCGACAGGACTCATTTTCGCTGTCACCTCCCTCTCAGACGTACACACCTCCTCCCATCCCACTAACGCAGAAGTCGTGCACCACCCGTCTATTTTTATCTTTTTGTCCTTGAATTACAATCCCTGAGCATCGCTGTGATCCATAAAAAAGGAGGAGAAAAGATCCCGCCCCCCCATCATACACACACATCTGTGTGGGAGCAGTGCACCGTTCCCAATTTCAAGTCGCTCACCATTACGGATGCAAACATTCTCTCATTAATGAGGTGAAATGGAGTGAGCATTAAACGAGTGTAATGCCGACAGATCAGGCTGTTCTTTCCGTTGCTATCCCACTCCCTAAGCCTATCATCACCACCCCCCACCGCACACATCCCCCACCTTCGAAAGTTACCCGCTGTAGCCAATTAGCATGACTGCTTCGTCGAGAGTTAGTTGGACCCCCATCTTCCGTATTCATTCCTCCCTCTCATCTATCCTGTCTTCCGCCGTATCGTTTTCCACCACAATTCCCTCACTCGCTCTGTTCCTCATTAGAGCAGTGTTAGAACGCCGCGAATCATAATAGGTGTTCGACACTGTGAAATGGCTTCAGCTTTGTTGAATTTCAAAGCTTGCGGTGGGAGTAATTGTCAACAATCTGCAATTTGACGGAGAATTGCGCATGAGCACAATCGTGGCTGTCCACATTTCAACAGGCTGAAAAACAGTCAGAAAGGCGAGAGGCCGGGTGGAGACAGCAGCGTTGATCTGTTCTCTAAACCCTAAATGTAATATGCAAAGGGGGGGGGGGATTATCACCGAGTGCCAGGCACTGCTTTTGGGGACTTTGTTTCCGTGACACCGTGACGGTGGCTTTGTTTCCCTGACAGCGGGTGTGTGTGTTTCCTTGTGTATGTCTGTGTGTGTGCGACATTCAGGCATCTGTTTCCTGCTGGAAAAGGTTAATTACATCTCCACTGCCTGACTGGACGTGTGATGCATAATCACAAACACTAATGAGACCTAGGCAATACGTGTGTGTGTGTGTGTGTGTGTGTGTGTGTGTGCATGCATCTTTGTCATTGGGTGGATTTTGAAAAGGCAGTGCCGTTGTGCTTTAATGGACATTTTATCCATTTGTTTCAGGCTTGAAAATCTATTGTTGCAGCCAAGATGCACACATACACACTCTAAACTCACACATCACAACAAGTGATAGCTGAATGTGCACTGCGGTGGCATTTATGCGCAGACACTCTCACTGGAGGACATTAATTGGTGGGTCTGCAGCGCTTTTTGTGTGTTTGTAATTAGTTGGCTCTCTATTAGTGAGACTGAGATGTTGTGGTGTCCGAGGAGGGATTTTCTCACAAACCCTGTTGCTCATTCTGACCCCTGACTCCTATCTTTACACTTGAGTGACGCTGCTGATTGGACAGCTGCTCAGTTTTCGATCGTGCCCAGCTCAGTGTGAAAATCAAGATGGGCTCCAACGCACCACGGGTGACTTTGGAAATGGCTGTCGAGTCTGTCACCAAGTTGGAATCCTCACTAAGTTGAACTGACATCCACGCGAGATGCGGGAGGTTTAGTGCTCTGCATGGCTTTGGTTCCAATTCGGTGTGGAATGGCGATTAAGGGCGCGAAAAGAGCAACGGGGGTATCACCGAGAGGTGTGACGAGAGAAATAATGGATTTCTGGATGAAACTGACTTCACGTCACCATATAGTGCACTGGCAAATACAAGAAATGATTGGTATAAAATTGGAAATTGGAAAAGTAGACGCCCCCCGCCCCCACCCCAAAGTAATACAGTACAACAATAACAAAAAGGGAAGTTGATTCAAAAACTCACATCTTTGGGGTCATTGATTGCAGACAGTTAAAGAGCAAATCTTAAACCGGGCACCTCATCACCATTTAACTCTGAAATAAGTGCGGAAGTCAACCAGAATCGAAAAAACATTTACGTGCTAAAAATTCTGATTCCCATCCCGCATTAACACTTAACCATCATTTTGCAGTCTGATTACCATTAGAATGTAAAGGTGAGGTCAGTAATGCCTGTTACACATACGTATCCGGATGCTTCCATTGTTCTGCCTTTCCACTTTCCTCTTCTTTTAGCTGCTTTTTCTTCACCTTCTGCCTGTTGCAGAAGCCGTTTAGGCCACAAAAACATAGACAGGTGAAGGGCATCTCCGGACTAATTTGCCGCTCTCATGTAGACCTGTTGAGAAGAGAGACAGGAGATGGGAAGAAAAAAGAAAATATGAAATGAAAACATATCTAGGTTATGGGACAATACAGAAGGCTGGAATATGACGTGCCGTGAATGCGTCCCGATTTTCCTTGGAAATAAATGGCAATCTGAAATGTAAGGAAGAGACGAAAGGTTGCCATTGATTTTGGATGGCCACCTCGAGGAAAGTGAAGAAAGCAAGGGGTGGATGTTATTAGGCGGTGTGATAAAAGTCACATTTCATTTCAGTCATTGGAAAGAAAAGAGAAATTCAAAAAATAGTCCTTCATGTAAAAGCCCCGAATTAAGTGATGATCAAATAATTTCCTGCATATGTTTTGATTTTGTCTGTCTTTTTTGCATCCATTATTCCAAAGAACAAATAGGTCAGAAGAATAAACATTGGAATTTACCTATCATGTTTTCAGAGTGATGTTAGGATCTGAATGTGCAGCATATCGTCCTTTATTGGTTTTACATTTGAATATCAAGTGGTTCAATTACAACATTCAAAAATCCTACAATGTTACTTCAATTATTAAATTCAAGTATCCAAGTTGAAACTGATACTTATTAAATCAAATGCTCAACTCCAAGAACATTATGGCCTTTCACAAAAAAATGATAAAATTGAGCAGACATACAAGCGGTATTAATGACCCCTTGCACAAAAGCCCAATTTATTTATTCAATATTCATTCATTGTTTTGCATGATTTGGGGAATGACTACGGTTTTTCCCCTTTGGAATGGATTTGTGGTTAGTTCTGCTTGCTAGTCATTTATTGCAGAGGTGGGCATTTACAAATTCTTGCCATTCCATCATTCATCATCTGTCAGCGGCCTGAGTAACCACCTGTCATCGTCTGTCCTTCATTTTTTCGAGCTGAACCAAACTGTGATTTCACCAGTTCGCCATTCAATCCATCAGCAACCCCCCCCCCCCAAAAAAAAAACCACTGTCGCCCAATAGATGAAAAATCCAATTTGATTATAGTGATACATGGAATCTTTCAATGTATCTACATCACATGGTGGCTGCCCAAACACACACAGAAGTCGCTTACATTTCACATACACTTATTTGCCAATCTATTGAACAGGTGGCGGCCAGCAGGTACTGTATTTTAACTCCCAAAATTTTAATTTAAAGTTTAACATTGCTTAACTTAACTAAAATCCATTTCTGCATTGTGGCCAAGGTTAAAATCCAATCCAAGTAGCTTGCACACTTACTTCTGTCTTTAAATGCAAGTCTTCTTTTTCTTCAAAGATCATTGGTGGATTACAGCTCTTTGGGGCATGGTGCCGCCTACTGCACAGGAAGTGCAAAACATTTCCATATAAAGAGTAGAGAAGCAACCCCGCTTGTATTCAATTCAGCCCCGCAAACAAACACGAGACACATACTGTCTATGGCCGATGCAGTCCTCTCTAAGAAACTCCGCAAGCATACACCAATGAGACAGGTGGGGTGTTTTTCTGTCAGTCTTTAGCATCTGTCAATGATGGACTGAGAGATCCATCGGCACTTGATTCGGTTAGTGACGATTACACTGACAAAAATCTGACGCACAAAAACCTACTTCCGTCAGTGTCTTAGTTCCCCCCATCATTCGTCAGTCGTCAGCAGAACGGGTGTCCGTCATTGATGGACGAGTATTGAAGGAATGTCCACCGCTGCTTATTTGTGAACAAACTATTGCTCTTCCCAAACTAGAAATAATTTGTATTTGGGTTTGGGAGAAGACACAACATTCACGATATCCATTGCAAAGGTGCTTCGGAATGCTGAAATGTATTTTCAATGTGGCTTTTACTCAAATGAAAATTGTTCCAAAATGGAGCACAGTTGTTTCTGTCTGCAGTACACAAAAACCGCAATGCAGAGCAAGTTAGTGGGTTTTAATGAATTGGACAGTTTCCATACTTGGACATACAGACACTGTCCACAGAAGAATTGTGGCATATTGGTTGCAGTGAAGGTGAACAAAAAAAAAGAAATCCATTCTTTTTCCCTCTGATATGTTACTTAACATTTTTGGCATGTCTCTTTGTGTCTCTTGCTCCCTCACACATGCCCACAAACAGCACCGGGGAGTATTCAGGCTCACAGCATTAACAGTTTTTATGAGTGTGCAACCAGCAACTCTCAAAAGAGCACTGAGATTAGAAGACACTGAAGGTGAAACCGAGAGCTTCATTAAATACCAACCTGAATCAGCAACGCTAGCGAGGCTGGCTGGGGAATGCATATACTTGACGTTTGTGGAGGAGAGTGGATGACAAACACACAGGCATGGAACAAACACTAAAGTTGTGTGCAAATTCACAGAATGTGTCCTCTGAAGGCTCCAATTTTGGACGCATGATGTCACTTCCGGCATGTGGTGTCCAAATCCACATTAAGCCTGTCCAAAATTGCCACGGTTTATGTGGTCCACAGAGGCTACATTGAGGAAGAGTCTTTAAAGGTGTTGAAAAAGCCATCATGCGAATTGTCTTTATGGAATTTGGAAACCTCGTGCGGTCGCGTCGCGGTGGAAGTGAAGTCATGCGGCCGAAAATGCGGCCCTTGGAGGATGCGGCCTGTGAATTTGGACACAGTCTAGGTGTGTGCATTATGTGCATGCATGCGACTTCGGAACAGGAACATGCATCATTCTGATTGTACGCGGGCAATTAGCAGGGATTGATTTTGGGTGTCACATGTGTTTTTTTTATGTGTTCATTTTATGTGCACAAGTATGGATGCTAATGCGAGAGAAGCAGAAAGCAAGAGCTATGACTTGACGTGTGTGCAAAGTTGCCGACGTCGTAACACTTTTGCTGTATTTAGCAACTTTCCCAATTCTGCCAACGAATATTTTTTCCAAAAAATAAACAAACAACAAACTTGACAACATTGGTCCTAATATTTGCGATACAGTATTCTTATGCCCTTCATGGTGGAGGGAAGAACAACAAGACTTGGCCTGAAAATACTGTCGGTATTGGCTGTATAAGTCATCACTGCATCATTACACGTTACTGTCAATAATATTACCCTTCCCACTTATCTATATATTTGGGAGTCTGGATTTGGAATATTGGTGCACAAAATGAATCTTAGACTTTTTAAAGTGTAAAGATGTCATTTTAATGGCCAATTATATATACCAGTGTGTGTGATATGTTTTCTAAATACTGTACATCAAAAAAAGGTGAGGTTGGCCTGGCTTGTTGGCTTGGGCATCGGCAAGCATTTCAGTTTCTCATGTGACCCTTTTGCAGAATTGATTGCCCAAACTTATCTACAATAAAGTGTGAGTGCACATACTGCATACGCTGTATGTAGAATATGTTATTGAACCTATCCCTCCCCTCATTTTAACCCGCACCTCATGTAGTCATCCAGTCATTTGTGTGAAGACTTCCCACTCCGTATCCAATGGCTTTAAACCCTATGTGACATGGTAGAGTCAATCACATAGGAATAGAAAGCCATAAAACACAGCAACGAGACGGTAGCGCAGTGTTCGCAGCAGTAAACTTTCCCTTTGCACACGATGTTTCCCACATACAGGTGCAGGAGAGTGGAACACTCAGGTTTTAACAGCCCAAGCTTGTCTGACAGCTTACAAGGCCCTGCAGAGGATTTACAAGTGTGAGACACCCAACTCGACTGTCCCTCTTTCCTCCAGTCTGTCCAAAGCCACACTTCAGTTGTGCTGTGGTCTGTTTTTACTTGCGGCCAATATCCGAGGCAGAGATGCAGCAAATGAAAACAACAGCCTGCAGACCTTCTGTATTATTAATTGGTTGAAAATTGATGAGTCAACATTAACGCAGCGAGGCAACTAGAGAGAAAGGCAGGCAAAGCACTCTGCATGCAGCTACAAATCAGCGTAGGGCAAGCTACTTTGGAAATCCTCTACAGCCCGCTAAGTTACAAATTATTCAACATTAGAGAAATCTTAACAACATGAGAGCTTCCCAAACAGAGAAATGGAACAAGCTAAGCTTAAAATAAAATAACAAAAGTAGCAGAAAAAGCTACATCAGTGTTTCTAGTTGCAGATGTGGAGATCACTCTACTCTCGTATATGTAACTATTTTTTAATGAACAAATGTCAAATCAATTCACAGTATTTCAATGGAGCATATCAATTAAGTTTTGTAGAGGAAACATCCATCCGTTTTCTGATCCGCTTATCAAGGGTCGGGGGGCGTGCTGGAGCCTATCCCACCTGTCGTCGGGCAGTTGATGGGGGACACTCTGAACTGGTTACCAGCTAATCGCAGTGCACACATAGACGAACAACCATTCGCGCTCACACTCACCTCTCGGGACAATTTAAAGTGTTCCAATAACCTCCCACGCATGTCTTTGGAATGTTGGGGGAAACCAGAGTACCCGGAGAAAACCCACGCAGGCATGCGGAGAACATGCAAACTCCACATAGGAAGGGTGGAGCTGGAATCGAACCCTGCACCTCTGCATTTTGAGACCGACGCGCTACCCAGTCGCCCACCGGGCCACTGGTTTTGTAGAGGAAACAACCTGCGCAAATGTTTCTGAGCAGCATAACTCAAAGTTAGACTTTCCCCATCCATCTGTCTTCTGTTTTTTTGTTCATCCCTGGGCTAAATATATGTGAAGCCTCGCTGCCTGATGCAGTGGGTTTATCCCCTTGTAAATTGTCACTGGGCAAGGTGTGACCTGCTGCCTGCTCCTTACCAGATGTCTGAGATCGGCCGCACGGTAAATGACCCAAGCAACCTACCTTACCGTAGGTTGCTTGGGTCATTTCGGTGTGCAGCCATGACTGTGGATAAGCAGTCGACTCAAATAAAAATACTCCTCACTGAACTTGCATCAAACGCAATTTTTATTCACTTCAGTTTCACACGATTGACAGAACATTTTCCTTTTCCTGCCCGTTATACAGTTGTAGAGAAAAAATATAAAATTTTTCTAGTTCCAGGCTTTAAGAGCTTCTTTTTCAT